TGGGATGTATGCCTGGGGGGGGATAGCGGTTTGTTTTTTGTTTGTTTTTTTTTTCTCTTTAACGCGAAAAAACAGGGTGGGAGGGGATTGACTTATTTAATTGCTTATTTCAATAACGTACCGTAAATGTACCGAGCTGGTGTGAACGATTTCTTTCTCTCCCCCTGCTCCTGTCGTTCCCTTTTGCCCCTCCCTTCTCCGCAGGCCACCTCTGTAAAGGTGTGTGTAAACTTGAAGAACTCGGGCTTTTTCAGTTAAAATCTTCACCTGTATCGCAGCACAGCAAACATGCCTGAACAAAGCAATGATTACAGGGTGGTTGTGTTTGGAGCAGCAGGGGTTGGCAAAAGCTCCTTGGTCCTTCGTTTTGTAAGGGGAACTTTCAGGGAAACCTATATCCCCACAATCGAAGATACGTACCGGCAGGTAATCAGCTGCGATAAGAGCATCTGCACCCTTCAGATTACGGACACCACGGGAAGCCATCAGTTCCCTGCTATGCAGAGGCTGTCTATATCCAAAGGGCATGCTTTCATCTTGGTGTACTCAGTCACCAGCAGGCAGTCCATGGAAGATCTTCAGCCCATCTTTGAACAGATTTGTCAGATTAAAGGGGACATCCAAAAAATCCCAATCATGTTGGTGGGTAACAAAAGTGACGAGACCCAGAGGGAACTGGATGCCAGCGAGGGGCAAGCGTTAGCCAGCAAGTGGAAATGCTCCTTTATGGAGACCTCAGCCAAAATGAACTACAACGTGCAGGAGCTCTTCCAGGAGCTCTTGAACCTGGAGAAGAGGAGAACTGTCAGTCTCCAGGTGGACGGAAAGAAATCCAAGCAGCAGAAAAAGAAAGATAAACTGCAAGGGAAGTGCTCTGTTATGTGATTGACTTGGGCTAGACTCGTGCCACTGCATGGTATAATCGGAGCATGGACTCCCACAGAAAATACATTTCTGCTGGAGGTTTCAGATGAATCCATGCCTTATAGGGCTATTGATTTCCTCCAAAATCTCTGCTGGATTGTTTTATGTGTTGGTTTTAAAGAGGATGGCTTTCTGCATGTGTATTTTTTTTTTTTAAATAATAAACGTTTAATGTTAGCAATTACATGTGACTAGAAGTTTTTAATGCAAGAAGTTTAGAGAAGAGAAAAATGTCAGTCAGAAAAAAAATCTCTATTCCTATGAGTACATGCTAGTTTTTAAGTATTTCCAGCCTATTAGCTTGAAAGAAATCATGGTATTTATAATGTGTATACTTCAAAAATTGTTTTCAGAGATCTATTGACCAGAGCAAATCTTTAACAAAGCTAGGCATTTGCACTGCAAACGAATGTATATGTGGTTCCAGGTGCTGACATTTCTGGCAGACAAACTGGCTTGCCTACCCAAGACTTTTTTTTTTCAGAGTAGAAGTTAGGTTTTCCTGTGTGCTATGCAATTCCTGAGACTTCTGCAGTTCTGTGGGGGATTAAAGCTATACCTGCATATAATCAGGCTGTTTGCTTTCCGCCCCCC